CACCGCGCCCGGCCAAGATGAGAAATTTTAAAGCATGTTATCTTTGTTCCTTTTCTGTCCTTGCCCCTTACTCCAAACCTCCTGGGATGCAACCACCATTCCTGGCTGGCGGCCCCTGGAAGCACCCACCTTCAGGATCATGTCCTCCACCACCGACGCATACACGTTCCTGTGGAGCGCCACGGGCTGCAGGGTGATCCCAATCTGGAAAAGCAGAAGACAGCCGTTTGTTCGTATCGCTGCTTTAAAAACGGCCTCTCTCCAAACAAGCATAACTCTCTGACACCCAAAGAGATGCCTGGTTGGAAGAAGGACTCTGCAAACATGCTGGGCAAAATTCACTGGAAAGGAACACGGAATATGACATCTAGACGAATGTTATCTTGTTTTTCCACATTTCTGGCTGATTTCTAAAATGTGACTATAATCCTACTTTAACTCTCAAATCTCCTTCGTGGAAGAACCTGGTTGGGATCTGCCATGAGCTCTGATAAGCGACCACCACTCTGGAAGGTCTGGAATCAAGACTCCAGTGTCCTGTTTGCACTTGGAAACTGCATCTTGCCCATTTTTCATGGCAGCCAAGGAAAGCACACTGTCTTTCACCTCACGCCCTGAGCAAGTGACAGATGCTGAAGAGCTGTTAGGCTCCAGCAGGGTGGATAAGTACCTCTCTCCTGTATAATAAGGTAGGTGCATGCCATCTGCACCACAGGCCGGGCACTCAGGACCTATCAACACATCAGGGGAGGATTTCGCACTGACGCGCAACTCAGAAACATGACACGCCTCATGAGGGAAAGGTGCTTCTACTGAGGCAGATGAGAAAAAATGAGATGAAGAGTAATCAACCGTTTCTATCTAGCCAGCTTTGCTTCAAGTCTGCATTCAACAAGCAACCTTTTCACGTGTAATTGGCGTTTCTGCCCAAGGGCTCTGATGCAGGAAGATGGGAGCCCAGAGAGCGCACCTGGGTCAACCAGGCAGAAGGACGTCAAGCATTTACACCACCAGAAGAGTGCGGGTCTGAGTCTGGGTCTGTGAGGCTGAACATCTGGGTCTGGGTCTGTGAGGCTGAACGTCTGAATGTCCAGTTCTGAGTCTGTTCTGCTGCATGAACTATTAACACCACAACCCCTACCTTCTGTGTGACATCCCCAATAAATTCAGACCCTGGGGTTGGTGGCAGGTAGAACTTGACTTCCTCTTGTTTCTCTTCCTGCTCCTTCTTGATGTTTATCTTTACTGGCTCAGAGAGGCTGAGGATGTCCACCTCCTCCTCATTCTCGGGTTCCCTTTTCTGGAACTGCTGCAGGTCCTCCAGTTTGCGGCAGAGGTTGTCCGCAGAGGAGAACGATGATGGGCACTCTAAATGAAAGCGAGCAGTGTTAAGACAGCTGTGGGGCCAACGGAAGAGGAGTTTCCATCTCCAAGAGACCCATGGTCTGAGGAAGGGGGAAAAGCATCAGCGGAGCTGACCTTCTTTCCAGTTCTAACATTCTATGGATCTATAATAATGACAACTAGTAATTCATGAGGGAGAAAGGCATCTTGTGTGTGATCTATGTAAAGCAACTGCCATCTAAGACAAAAGAGTACAGAATTCTCACTTTTACCACCAAATACCAGGCCACCCCCCTCCCTCTGAGTATTAAGGACCGACCTGATTTTTCTACATCTCAAATTTGGAAAATTTAGAAATGCAGAGTGAAGAAAATAAAAAGAATCACCCCTATTCTCACTGCTCAGAGAGCAGGACTGTTAACATTTCAATGTATATTATGGGTCCAGTTTCTAATAAGGCGATTTATACAAAGCCTAATCAGGAGTGTGAGGACCTTAAGGCCAGGTCTAGGGCACTAGTGCCCTTCCACTTTCTGGATGAGTGTGTGAGGTCCACACCAGGTACAAGATTTAAGGGCACCCAGCTTCTGCCCTTTGGTTTTACTGACTGGGCTCTAACGAGCTCCAGCTGCTCCTCAAGTTATGCTGGATGGCGCTATATCCTGAAAAACCCATTGTTAAGTTGAAAATATCATTTTTTGACTTAGGATATTTTCAACTTACGATGGCCTTATCTGGATGCAATCCCATCAGAAGTCAAGGCCTATGCTGATGCCTACAGCTTTCAGACCACTGTAAAGTCACAAAATCAAATCACAGGTCAAACCACTGTAGGTCAGGGGCTGTTTGTAATCAGTTAGATTAACAGGAAGCCTAGTACATGCAAGTACTGTACTTTCCACACAGTGTCAGTGAAGCCCGGGGAACATCAATACGGTCTCTGCTCTCCGAGTAGCTTAGACAGCGAAGTCAGACAAGCCCTCATGCTGCTGATATAAAGCGCGGCAGGAGATGAGAGGAGAGGCCATCCTGCATCAGGCTCTCAAGAAGCTTAATGGCAAAAACGGGACTTGCCCTTTTTTTTTGGACACAGTCTTGCGCTGTCACCCAAGCTGGAGAGCAGTGGCATGATTACAGCTCGCTGCAGCCTCAGCCTCTTGGACTCAAACAATCCTCCCGCCTCAGCTTCCCGAGTAGCTGGGACTACAGGCGTGCACCACCATGCCCAGCTAATTTTTGCATTTTTTGTAGAGACAAAGTTTCACCGTGTTGTCCAGGCTAGTCTTGAACTCCTGGGCTCAAACAGTCCTCCTGCCTCAGCCTCCCAAAGTGGGAGGCCACTGAGCCTGGCCCTAAGTCTTAAAGGAACCCCACCTCTGTGCTCCAGGTTTCCTTGGACAGGGAGGCAGAGCTTCTATTTTTCTACATAAATGGGGCTGGGGGCAGAGAATAACCTTTCTTTTTATTTTATTGAGACAGGGTCTGGCTCTGTTGCCCAGGCTGGAGTGCAGTGGCGTGCTCATGGCTCACGGCAGCCTCAACCCGGGCTCAAGTGATCCCTCTCATCTTAGTCACCCAAGTAGCCGGGACTACAGGCGAGTTACCACACCCAGCTAATTTTTGTATTTTTTGTACGGACAAGGTCCTGCTATGTTGCCTTGGCTGGTCTCAAACTCCTGGAGGCTTAAGCAATCTTGACTTCTCAAAGTGCTGGGATTACAAGCGTAAGCCACTGTGCCCGGCCCAACCCTTCTTATTCTTGGAGGTGAAACTCAAAATGCTTCCTCTCCCTACATATCTTTAATCCCTTGGTCCTACATCCCATGGCCCTGCAGCAGTGGTCTGTTTTTGTTGTTGCTGTTTTTTTTTTTTT